GTAATTGATATGGAAATTCAGGAATATTGAAGTCTGAGATGACTGACTGATACTTACGAAAGTGACAGTCAAGTTTGAGACAATTGATTGACATTTTGCAACTCAAGTATTTACTGTATGGTTCTCAGATTTTACTAAGTTGTTCTGTAATTTTGTGTTCAAATGCATTCGATTATCCCTACTTATGTTCTCTTTCACTGCACTATAACAAAGAACCGAAGAGTTTCATGTTTTGGAAGGCATATCAATCCGATGAACTTCAGTGTAAATGTTCATGATGTTACTCAAACTGAGTACCTATTAGTTTAAATACTTGAAATGTGTCCAGCAGATTAATAAGTTATTATGGTCATTATTTGTTCAACAGATTTGTGAAATGACAGCTTAGGAAAAGGGTATATGGAACGTGGTTAGGTATTAGTGGAGAAGATTTGTAACTTAGGTGGATGAATTTGATCAAGTTTTGTTCTTTGAGCTGGATGCTTTGGTCGTGCAAGTTGCTTCGGTAGTTGTTCTTTTGAAAGATTATCTTCAGGTATTTTTCTTTATTATTTCATGCTGCAAATGTATTGTAGAGTGTCCTTGTATAACCAAACCATTCAGCTTACAGAACAAAATTCTATCAAAAATTAGGTATTAGTATTATTGAAAGTAATTAGTCCCTTTTATAAATTTTGATAGAACAATGAGAAGATGGAGTTGATCTGAAAAATATGATGTATTAACATTCGAACAATCTGCTTACATATACAGCCAGTCAGTCAGCTATAACGTAGGACCAGGCACATATATGCATCGGTCCAAGTTGCCATACCTCATTAACACAGCAAGATGGACACCGGATTCATAAAAGTAGTTAATTCAGAGGTGGTAACATATAAAAGAAAGATTGCAATAAGGATATAGTACAGGAGGAAAGAATTAGTTCATAGAAAGAAAGGTATGGAACGATTTTAATCTCTTAGTTTAAGGGAGGACAAAGAGTGTATACACCGACGCCATTGTGATCGATTCTGAGCTATGTCACCAAGAGTCTCCAACCATTGGTTACGATAGCCACGCGGACTCCAACCAAGTAGTCTACACCTACCAAAATGGCTCAGACTAGAAGTTAGTGACTTCAAGCACTGATGCCACGTTTTGGTTTGGCCACCCTTAACTTTCTTCCAACCATCCCGAACACCGGTTAGCATTGCACGTCGTGGTAATCGGTGTTCAGGCATACATAACACGTGTCCCGACCATCTCTGTCGATGAAGATTCACAACCTTATCAACTGATTTACAATCACTCCCTAATACCCTGCGTCTAACCTCACTATTACTTACCCGGTGATCCCAACAGACGCCAGCAATATTTCTAAGGCATCTGTGGTCAAATACTAGTAGCTTACGAGTGTCTTCTACTTTTAGTGGCCATGTTTCGCTGCCGTAAAGTAAGAAAGAACGGACTGCCGCGCAGTATACTCGTCCTTTTATTGATAGACGGATATCTCGCCTTCGCCATAGGTGACGTAAGTTGGCAAAGCCAAGCGAGCTTTTGGAATCCGTGCTGAGATTTCGTCAGACACCAACCTATTGGGGCTGATCAGACTTCCAAGATAAGTGAAGTTGTCAACGCGTTCGACTACTTCACTCCCTATCCTTATTTCAGGTGTTGGGTTACATATACACTTGTCAATGGATTGTATATGAAAATGTATAGCGCGAATAGATCACATTTTTTCAGTTCAATTCCGTCTTCTCATTATTCTATGTTTATTATGAGTATGTAATAAATTATAGCTGAATTATATTTCTAAGTGTGATCTACGTTAGAATTTTCCTTTTGATTTGTTAACTGTTGTATGTTTGCCAACAGCCATAAATTACAGTCTGTAAGAAGGTGTGTGGAGGTAGTCAACAGAGTACCATGATGTCAGGTTTCATGCTATTTAACACTGATCAGCAAGGTATATTTGTGATCAAAAGACAATAGATTTTCTCTAACAGATTTTGTTCTGTGTCTTTCAGCGTCACAATCAGAAATATTATCGGCTGGGATTTTGGAGCCTCGACTGACCTATTGTTGGACTGAGATATACTCATAACAAAGGACGTGACATATATGACATTGGTTACTACTTAGTGATCAATTAATTATGAATTATTTATAATTTAAAATTTATTTAAACACAGATATAGGTACAAGAAGGCACCAAATAGATATGCGCCACATAAATCATTCGATTTGTGTGAGGACTCTGATGCTACCCGAGTGCCCGAACCGAAGCAGGTGGTTTTCTTAGAGGGCCACATCCTGAGCGTTCGATCTAAAGGTCTAATCAACAAGACAGTGGAGCAAAGTCAGGAGATGCAGTCTCATGGTAGCCGGTGACCAACGACTGGTTCATACGCCATTTGTTTCCTTAAGATCCTGGAGTCCATGTGCAACATTGGTTTGGAATGAGGGTTGTCCAATTCTCCCAGGTGGACTCTCCTTATCCACCTACCCTGTTAGGGCGTCGGACATTCGCTTTTCGTCCTCTTAATCCCATAAACAACACCCCCCCCCGCGAGAGGGCAGTATGTGTGTGGCCATGTGAGAGCACTTCGAGAGGGAGAGTTGACTCTCCCTACTGTCAGCCATACCAGGGCTATTGGGGGCAATTATTAATGATAGTTTCTTTTGAGCTATTTGTTCAAAAAAGACAAATCATTCAATTTCTTCTTTATATGATAACCGTTTATAATTTATCATAATGCTATTCATTTTTAACTGATAGGAACCTAATATAATAAAATGAGCTTTCATGTTATTCTGTTCAAATAGCTGTTATTTCTGTTGGACGAATTATCTTAATTTAACTTACAAGTTGGCTAAAGTAGTTTTATAAATTTGTTGAGGTATGAATTACTGTGTGAAAAAATTCCCAATGAAAAGAACAATTTGAAGGGGAAAAAATCAAATGAGGTAGGCAATACTTTTCATTTAAACACAGAAACTACTGACAAATAATTAGTAATTTAATAGTTGAATTCATGAGTCGATTGGACCTAGACCACCATGGAAAACCTGGAATCACTTAATGGCAGTTCCATCCTAGTATGGGACTCCTAAGCAACGCGCATCCACGATCCTGCCTCGCGGGATCCGAACCGAGGACCCATCAGTTTCACGCACTAGCCCTTAACCTCTAGACGGTGGCGCAACTTTGTGGATTAGTTGAAGTTACACATTAACACCGTTGGATGCCTGCCAGCCCAGTGCTTCCAGGTTTTCCATGGTGATCTACCTTCAAATGACTTAAGAATTCAACTATTAAATTACTATAATATCCACAAAATCCCTCTCTGATGAAAATAATTAGTAGTTGTATTTTACAATAGTAATAAACCGCAACCGTAAGAGCAATAACTGTATACATGAAAAAAACTTGTTCGTTATAAACGATAGTGTTTATCATTCCCTTTAGAATACACTAATCAATTGAATTCAACTGTTTAAATACATCCTTCAGTTAATTTAGGTGAGTATTTGAATATTTATTCATCTCAGGTTACATGGTTTATATCTAGTTAATTTTCAGTAGACCCATTGAAATTAAAATTAATTGAAGTCATATTTTAAATATGTTAGCTTCTGACTCCTTCAGTTGATGAAAAGGGATCTCACCAAACAATATGCCATTGTCGGAATGTAAACTATGGAAGTGTTGTAACCAACGGTTACCGATAGAATGTTTTTAACGTCTTATTTCCTAAGAGGATAATACATTGAGACGGAAATGAATTCCATTTAATTGCTAAAAAGGAGCAGTAGGTGGTTACCTCTGGTTCGTATATTTGAGAAGCGTTTCTCCTTCTCTACATGTAAAATGTTGCTCCAAAGATTGGTGTGGAACACCTAAACTAATGACAAGTGAAGTAGTTGATCTCGTCGACTAGTCAACTCAGTAGCTGTGAGACATGAGTAAGCCTGAGGTCTGTAGTCATATGTCCGCGACGAATAACTAGTGGAACTATCGAGTAATCTTGAGGTTGGCCATATCGTAGTAGATAAATCAGTTGAGAATCTTCGAGTGAGGTGGTTGAGATGTATTCTCTATCCTCAACCACCACCTACTTTATCATGCGACATTAAATGACGTAGGGGTAAGGTGCAAGAAAGAGGCCTAACCAAAAACTGCCATTAACTCAAAGGTATTAATTGTTTAATCTGGGCCATTTTAATAGGTAAAAACTACCTGGTTGGAATCTGAAAGACTATCGTAATCGAGCGTTGGTAGAGTGGCTAAAGATCGGTTGGAGTGGCATAGAGACGTTCACCCTTTATCTTCCTTTGGATCCTAATTTTCGAAATTATTTTATTTCTTAGGTTCATTCTTTCGTCTCGAATCATACTTTGCATGTCTTATATTTGTTTACTATCATTGATACTACTATTTTGGTATTCACTATAGTAATTTTGTTCGTATTAGATCCGGTGTTGACTATGATTAACTTATTAGGATCAATAAAATAATGACACTGATCTTCTATAGAAACTTTAACTACATAAATTGGACCCTAGCTACAATTAATAGTATTACCAGAGTAGAGCAAGCTACGATGTCACAGTCAGAGGGGCATGACCACACAACTGTTTCGTTATACCGCCCAATGACATGATGATACTAATGATACTAATAAATGGGCGGCCTGCTTGAGCATCTGGGCTACCTGTTCCTGTCATCTAAATATTTCAACAAGTTATCTATTTTTGTTTGTTTTAATATATCATTATGTATATTAATCGCATAACAGATCCTTGTGCATTTCTGAAAAGTTTACAACCTTTCGTTGTCAAAGTTACTAAAAGCTCAATAAGAGATAATGTGGTCGCTGGCAATATGCAGAGAAAAGAATATACATTATTCAGATGTTTATTTACTGGACTGCTAACATCTAACTGGCTATCACTCAATATTTATCGTCAGGATCGACCCAGAAGAAAGAAACGGAAACTTGTTGAAATACTTTGTGCTGAGAATTCTATATTGTACCGAAAATATAATATTGAATAAAGCTTATAATAATAAAAAATAATATACTTAGATTGAATCCTATTATGACCCAAACAATCTCTGAAGATGATCATTTAAAATTTAATTATATGACCCCCGTAAATAAGTACAACAAAAACATTCAGTTCAGTGATAAATATCCACAAGGTACAATTCTGAACTAATAAGTGTGAAATAAATTTATAAATGAAGTATTTACATCTAAACAAACGGTCATTCAGTGAAAAACTATTGAAACAATGAATAGATATTCACGTTCTATACATTATTTTGGACCCCATTTAATATTAGTTAATCCATGAAATTGTCGTTTTAATTGATTAGGTTCAGCCCAAGCTGAATTTAAATAACAATCATCATCATCAGCTTCAAGTTTTTTCCATTCTTCTTGTCTTTTATAATAATATGCCATCATAGCACGTTGTTGTTCTTCATTTACAATAGGTTCACGTGCTGGTGCACCAGTGCCACGTTTTGATAATTTAGCAATAATTTTAGTTTTATCATTACGTCCAACATAATCTGATAGAATTTTTTCACGATGCATTTCTTTTCCTGAAAACCATAAACTAGCATTATCTGCTGTGATTACTTCTTGTGATGCCTTGAGTAATGATTAAAAAAGAATATTCATTGATAGATTTTATAGTTTGATTGGTCATAATGTACAATTGAATATTTTTATTCGCATAAAATCGTAAAACTTTAAGTGTTTACATATACGTCTAGGATATTATGAGAAAAATCTATTGTTTGCAAATCAAAAGTGGTATGTTGATTTCTGAACTATCCAAAAATGTTAAATTATATCGTTTTCTTAGCAAAACTGCTAGTATTATCTCTAAATGGTTCTTTATTCACCAAAGAAAACTTGTAATTGTTTCATTGTGTTTTAAAAGTGGTGTGACAAAATGAAACAATGCGCGTACTTGTTAAGTACTACATTGCTTAAGACTGACGGGCCAAGTGAAATGCTTTGTATATATATGTTGTTAACCATCTAAAAACAACGAAATTGTTATCCCAATAAAATGCTGACTCCTATCTTCATTTTTTTATATATCTAGTATGATCAACTGACTCTTGTATCCTATTTTTTAACAATAATAGTCAAGATTCTTAAGGTAATATATTGCCCAATACACAATTTCCCTAAGTTCTGCCTGCATGATTTCAGTAATACACAAGATGAGATCGATAACAACAGAATCCTTTTATTCACAGATATGTTCAGATATAGAATCTAGATAAATATCAAGAACCCAAATCGACTAACTGAACAAAATTACCGTGAGCTACTGATTAATAACGACTTTACTAAAGACTGGCCAGGAAAGGTAGTAATTTATCAGTTGTAATTTCATTTTTTTTTGCTGGAAACAATAAGTCCATTTAGTAGCATAGCCTGATTCATTTAAAGAGTACAGGTTCATGTACTAAACCTTGAGTTACAGTTTTTGTGAGTAGGGGTGGTAATGATTTTATTTGGCTGCTTGCCTGGGAGAAAAAATAATTGAAAAAGTTATATTCTTTAAAATTACATAACTCGAAGTCCTTCAAAGACCAATACTTCAAAAAAAAATGTGTGTATGAATTTAGACTGCCAGTACCCGAGCTTCCGATTTTGGGGAACTTTGGGCAAATTTTGGGGTATTTTGGGGAAAATCTCGAAGTCAAATGACCTTCACCAATGTTTGGGGAAATTTTCGGAAACTTTGGGGAAATATTAGGGAATTTCCCCAGGTCTGGGGAAATTTTGAGGGTTTTGTGCCATTTCCCCTGAATTTCCTCAAAATGTGCCAAATTTTCCCCAAGATTGGGAGCTCGGGTAAGTTGAACTCGGGCCTATTATAATTTTCGGAAAATAATTTGTTAACACAACTGGAAGCTGAAGGCCAAAACACTTTGACCCAAAACGTTATCAGGCATTATTAAACTAAAGAAGCTGTATCTTCAAAGACAATTAGTAACATTACTTGACCTACAGTTATACGCGCGACCATCGTAACCAATGGTTGGAGACTCTGGGTGATATATGGCTAAGAATCGACCACAATGGCGTAGATGTATAAACTCCTTTTCTTCTCTTAAACCATGAGATTAATATTACTTCATATCTTTCTTTCTACGAATTCAAGTTAGTTAACTAACTCTTCCTTCCTATACTATGTCCTTATACGCAATCTTTATTTTATATATTATGCATATATGTACCTGGTCCTATGTTGTGGCTGACTGACTGACTGACTACTATGAACATCGGATAGTAGTAGGTCAAATAGTATCCGAAATCTAGGTACTTACATATGTTCCACTCAAATCTTCCTCATTGTCAAACTCCAATTTAATAGGATCATATGGAGGGAGACCCATAGGATAAACGATGGTTACTGCACCAATAAGCATCATCAATGCTTCTCGAACAACACTCTTCTCGATACTGATATCTTTCTTAACGAGATCTCGAGAAATCAGCTGCTTGGACTCATCAATTGTTCTTTTTAACACTTCCACCATTTTCTCGGTCGGTGCTGTTTATGAACATTATTCTGATGTGGAAACAACTTACCGACACCATTTCTCCTACCTATTTCGTCCTTGCACTCAACGTAACCACCACTAGGAATACACTTCTTTCCCCATTCGTCCTCAAGTTTTAAGTCGCAAATTTGTTCCTCTGTAAGACCCTGACGGATATAAAACTTATCAACACGATTACTTGCATATTTGGTGGTAGAGTAACACCATGTTTTGCTAACTCTTCCATTTCTCCGCATATCCGATGAATTTTAAGGATACCATTGTATATTTCACAAATTTCGGTTATCAATTCTTCAACAGGAGTGCTTGATAGGCGGTCAATCATAAAAAAAACCTGGTCCCCCTTCTTGACTACAATCCTAACCATTTCAAACGCAGTTACCAAGCTTTGAAGGACGACTGAGTGGGTAAATAAAGTTGATTGTGTAAAACACATCTTATATCACGAATCATATTCAAGATATTTTTGACAAGCTAGTGTAAGAGTATAATTTTTCACCCTCATACATTGATACTAATCAATAACTGTCAGTCCATAGTTGGAACTATCAGGTCAATTGAGAATTCACACTTAGGGCATGATTTTGCAAGTCATTGCCACTGTCACTAATGGTGAATTCCACGGGTCACATTGTTCTACCACGTAGGAATTACGTTGTGTTTTCACTTACGTCACTTTCTATTACACCACAAAATGTTTTCTTTTTTTTAGTTAATATTTATAATCTGTTGGGATGAAACGTATTCTGGGTCATATGTTGTTTCACGACCATTCTTCCTTTATTATTAGTACCGTAAGAATTAAAAGTTCAGCACCAATAGATGAACTAGGAAGGGTTTTTTATATCAAACGACTTTCTGGTTATTAATTTTTAAAGTCTATCCATGTTAGGGAAATCATTCCTACTTCTTAAGTAACCGCTGAAAACGGTTAAATTGGAAAACAAAAGGGTCAAAATAAACAGTTTGGTAAGTTTTTGATTTTGACCGGGTTAATGTTTCTAGATACAAACCTGTCTGAAAGAACTCGGACAGGGATTCGTACCAAGTCATGTTCAGTAATCCGGGCTGCTCATTGCTTGAGACAATCAGTTAGCCTAGATTACACTCATCTCGACACCACGATCGTTATCCAACTTTGTCGTCGCATTTCTTCATTCCGACCCTCTGGTCTCACTGGCTTTGAAGTGCTTGTTCAAGAGGAGTATTGGGACGATAGCGTTGCCTAGGTCTGAATAAACGTTGCCTGGCTTTGATCATTTCGTGGGTTAAACTGTTGAAAGTTAAGTAAAGAAACACTGTAACGGAGTTTGCCCTATTATCTGCACGATATCGATCAAGAGAGATGCATACCAGCTACATGTCAAGATCTTTTTCACGTTGGATAGTGTAACACCGAGATCACCCAGAAAGTAAGGGTTGAATGTATCACTATTTCTCACCATTGATATTTTATATTTACCGGATTAAGGGGAAGCATGTTCCTGATAGCTAGAACACTTATTTTATTTTCGTTGGAGATGATAGACATTTATGAAGCCCTGCATTTTCACTCAACTTTCAAGTTTTCACATATAGAAAGGCCACTAAATTTCATTAATGCCCATTGTTTTATAGTAATCTAATGGATCTATGTAGACAGAACTGTTATACTCCATTGAAAATGTAAGATCCTGAACTATCGACATACATTGTAACATGGCATACCTGAATGAAATATATGTACGGAATAAGATTGAGTTTCGGGGAGATAGCCCAGAGTGATTCATTTCCAACATTTCCCATGGTCTTCGCGATAGCAAAGAACAATAGAATTTCAATTTGGTTCTCCATTGCAATTTATTGTGACTTTCATAGCATCATTCTAAATTATTATTGAACGAAAGTTTATATTTTTATTAGGTTTGTAGTGACCTACTTTTATCAAGAGAACGCTATTGGTTTAATGGAAACAATTATCATCACTAGTTGTACCAGTGATTATTTTACTGTACTTGTTTGTTTAACTGTACCATAACACAAACATTCTTCCTTCGGTTGCTTGTGACCTTGCACAATTTCGGTTACGCTCACTACCCAACACTTGTAACCTGGCACGATATCGGTATTCTTTCGATACCACGAGATCGCCAACAAATACATCTCGAACACAGCCATCAACTGCCTTCTGATATTTGGCTTACGGGGGATCTTATGGGTTAACTGGCACGTAGTCTTTCTGTAGTGATTATCATAGTCAACCGCGACTCGACGTCACACTACATGTTCATACGAGTGCACTAGGAAACGAACAAAATTTATGGTTTGCTTCAGAAGTTGATATTCATTGCACTCTTACTATCAGAGTTGAATCCTTTCATTAGTTGTTCATTTGTTTTCTCTCTCTTTTTCCCTTCTTAAAATATTATTCTTAACATTCCGAAGTTTTTAATTAAGACAATAACTTAAGTTACACTTAAATTAACTTCTTAGACTCGTTTTCTCTTCGCTATGTATATGTGACTCATTCATATTTATATTTGGTTATCCTTTGCACTTAACTGAAACGTTTGTAGCATGATTCCAAACTATGACTGCACAAACACTTATTATAACGTCATATCTTACTGCGATAATGAGCTCTCTTCTTATTTACTTATTTTGTTTTATTTTATTTTTCGCTACTCATTTGGCGATACATACGTGGTCGTTTATTCTTCTTCTGTGTTTACAAACACGCTTGTTAAACTATTTAAGTGTTTCCGGTCTCTTTTATTTCTATTCCCTTATTTTCTCGCTTCTTTAAAGTCAAATATATATTCTTCTCAATTTTGCAGAACCTGAATTGGCATTAGTATTATTCTATTATCATTATCACCTTTTTTTCTCGTTTTCATATATGACAAATATAGTGCCAACATTAGTTAAACCTGTGTTATTGCACTTTTGAAGAATCCCGAAATGGTTTCCTCACAACACTTATGTACCCGTAAGGTGTTTGTGAATAATAATAATAACAATAATAATATGGTGACCAGATTTGAACCTAGCAGCTCTATGTGGTTCTTTGAGAAAGTAACGTGTATGTTAGATCTGATAACGTATTAGTTTGCACAGGGTGTCTGCACACTGCTTTATAACGTTCAGGTGCATGTGGCTTACCAGGTCATTACCTAATTAACTTTTCAAGCAATAATTCAGGTGCTTTATAAGCTGAAACCAAAACAACGTGATTGGATAAATGGCGGTCCTAGATTTCATTTTTAATGTAAATATACATTATTACGTAAACAAATATCACCACCCAGTTTTTCAACCAAAAATTTTTCAACCAATGAGCAGATGTAAATTACAACAAATAAATAAGTTGACAGAGGATGTAAAAAAAATAACTTAGTGTAACAAATAAACGTTATCCTATCCTTTCTGGATAGATCACTTACATGTTCATTTGAAAGATAATATTTGGTTGCTTTATAAAAGTGTTTCTAATTCTAGAAGAGTTCTTCAATTCACAATCAAATATACTCAATTCCAGTTCATGTAAGAAACACAATCAAAGGGAGAACAATTCAACATGGCTGCCGCCAAGACTAAGTATCAAGTAAAACAGCATAAATGCATTGCAGGAAGGAACATGGAAGAAAAGGCGAAAGAATGATAATAATAATAATAATAAAATACAAATATTACCATCTCAAATGGAACCAAAAAGACTGGCACCATGTACATCTGAAGAAATAAATTGGGGCAAGTAACAAGAGTATACATGGAGGGATTTTCACACACGAAACCTTCAGAATGGATCTTATACTACCTGAAGTTTGTGTCGGTGATGTCGTTCAAAAGAACGACAAAAATTCCGTTAGCAAACCATCCAGCCCAGAGGACAAAAATTTATTATATTATTATTCTAACTCCAGCCTAAATATGTTCTTTAGAAACGTCAAACATCATATTCCTGATTATTATGATGCGTCGAGTCGGAATAGACAATAATGTGATCTCCACGCAATATCTTATGGATCAGGTTTTCACATCATGACAAATCTACAAATTTAGGATTAGGTCCATTATTATGGCAGTGTTACTAACTATCTTGACTATAATTCAACAGTTTCTCCCATTCTCCTTGGTGAATTCCAGTTGTCAAACATTTTGTTTCTCTTGACTTTCGAGTGATGTTTCTGTCACATGAAGTCACCGCTCTTTAGTTGCGATTGCTTGATCTAGTTGATGTGAATTGTTATTATTTGCTTTAAGGTACCTCTAAGGTTAGCGAAAGACACATATTGTTCTTGACGAGTAACTATCATTTACTATTATTAACCTTTTGTCTACCCGTAAACTTACAGTTTTAACTATCCGGCTATGAGTGTATTAAAGTGAAATATCCTACAGGACAGAATAGTAATATCCGTATGCCAAGGACTCTGTTATATTACAACACTTGATTGGTCGTGCTGTTCCTAATATTTTTGCGACTGCTTATATCTCGCTGTTATATCCGATTTCAGGAGCGTAAACTGATTGTACCGAACACCTAAAACATTTCAGATATATCTTACAGGTAGATTTGGACGAATCGTATACGCAATATTTTGAAAGCTGTATAAAAAGTAATGGTTATCTTAAGCGTTTCTGGAAGGCACTATGGTGCAACCAAGTTCATCCAATGGAAAAAACACTCAGACATCATGCACTTAACTGTATTGACGCTATTAAATGCTATCCAACTTCTAAAATAGCGGAAGCTCTCACCATCCATGAACTGAAGCCAGAATTATGGGTACGAAATAATTACGTCCTATCGTTGTCGTTACCTTGGCCTGTGCCCTCTATCTCTGTCTCGTATTCTCATTATTTTATCCATAATTGCTTATGATATCAACTCATTTGTTTCACGGCTCTATTACCATTAATTATTTTTAAATGTTGTAGCAAAGACATCTTAATCATCTTACTTCATTGAAGTTATAGTTCGTTACTAACTTATTAAATCTATTGTTATTATTCACACTACGTAATCTAGTATTATAATCTTTAGTTTTTATCATCATGGTTGTTCCTTGTTCATATGTCCTCACGCAACTAGTACTTTAACCAAAGATTTTCATATATAAGACTATACGGCTTGATAATAAGTTTGTCGAAAAGGGATCCCTTCGCTGAATTTCGTGCCTTTAATGCTTGACTTGGAATCACACCCAATTTTCAACAGTAAACTTTCCTAAAATGTACGGGGAATATGTCCCTATATCAATGACGGAGAACAGTAGCAATCACTTCACGCAGTCACATCTAAAGTACGGTAAACTAGTATGGAAACCGCGGAAGGAATGGATAATGTAAAAGAGAAATGAACAGTTATTAAATGACTCAACGACATTAGGAAGTCAGTTACAACCCAAAATTTGTAATAAATGTCGCAATAGTGATTATATGCGAACAAAACTAGGAATGAATATACTAAAACATGAAGAGCAATAGAAGAAACGATACGTGAAAACAAGTAAATAGCCGCAATGCAAAACATGCATGAAGAGATTTACTTATGAACTATTGAATTCTTTAAGAAATCAGTGTCTAAGCTGGTCGGGGGAAACAAGTTTGAAGGGAGAAGCATATGGATCCAATCATATATATTCACTTCAACCAGCATGAATATATGCAAATAAATGCGAATTTTACCAATCTAAATAACAGTACGTCTGTCAAATAGTTAATTTAAAGACTTATTTAATTTGAACATGTGCAACTTGTGTATAAAAAGGGCACTGTGGTATGACAAATACCTAGGCACAGAACTTAGCATGTTTTAAGGATAAACAGAGCCTAGAGAGCCTTATGTCTACGTCAGTATTATGTACATTGATCTTTTCTACTATAAAAATGGACTTCATCTTAATACTTTAGATTTCTCACGATGTACCTACCTAACTTATAAAATCTTACATGAGAGTCACATCACAGTCTATACCAACTCGTCTTACCCTAACAATTAGCAATCTGACACCTAGCACTTCAGAAGAACACAGTCGGGCTGGGAAACGAGTAATGTATTTGATACAAAAAGCAAGAGTTTAAATACAGTAACCACGCCCGCATGGTTGAGCCACATCATATCGATCGAGTCTCTGAGTTCGCCAGTTTTTATCTTCCATAAGTGTTAAGAGCCAAGTTTAAATCTTCTCACTAATCATGTACTCATCTTCAAAGATCGTGTGTTTAACAATCAATACCACCACAAACCTTCCGAACTTTTTGTTTTTGCAGATGTAATCAATCTGGTTCCCTGTAATTTGGTCCGATGAAACTCACATAGCCCTGTGTGCGTGCTTGTAAGGGAATTCCTTACCACCAGTGAGCACATAAACTCGCACATCTCTCACAATCTTCGTTCCTTTCTCCCAGTCCAAGTCGTTCAATGATATCTACCTACACAGTGCTGTCCGTCACAACCTTGACTTTCAGGTCTCCCTTATGAACAGTCAAGCCCCCACCTGGGACAGGTTAAGTTCAGTCATACATTCAACCATTATCTTCTCTCCTTTGGTCAATGTGGGGGTCTTGACACAAGACGAAATCAGCTGTAATCCCGTCCTTCTTCTTTGTAGGATGCTTATTCCAAGCATTGCCAGGTTATATCTCTCCATGTACGTAGCTATTTAAATGGCTCCTCAAGTCTCTCACATTGTCCGGAAATCCTGTATATCTACTTTAGTTATTAGTTTGATTGCTAGAATGGGGATTAGCCTCGTGACATATGAAGAATCTAGTCTTTCACCATGGGGCGTCATAATTCTTATGAATGAAGATAATTCAACCTCCAGGGCAAAGCTCGAACGCTTTAAATAACGTTTCACGGTTAGCTTTTTCCTGGCAGGGTTGTTTTGTAAGGGATGAGGTGGTTAACCATTTACCCAACACTGTTCTCATCTTCGTGTTCGGGACCGGCAATAAACCTAGAATTCGAGGCTGTTTGGCTTGTCCTACCTACCCATAATATCATATTATCAAAATGCACTATCACTATAGAGTTTTCGTCCCTTAAAAATATTAACCTATTGGGTTAAGACCTTGAAACCGCCTTCCGACTGCGAAAATTCTGGGAATATAGACTGTGTTAATATAGTGGACAACGGATTAAGGGAACTCTTACAAAAATAGGCTTATATGCTTCCGAATGTAAAACACTGAAAAATCAAGCATCCTTTTCAGAAGATTGCTCTTTATCTTCACTGTTTTGTTTGAATAAACGATTTGTCTAGCATTTATATAGTACAAGAGTTCATTTTTTACTAGAAAATAGTCTTCATTCTCGAAAAAGCAGAAGCATTTATTAACCCTTTAATTCTTTTGTTCCTTCATTTGACATTCTGTGACGTGACTGTAAAAAAAGATTCGGGGTTAAGAGTTAATAGTTACGCGTCTCCGGGTTCAGGGTGATCAGGAATGCTCTGAACCCGGGTGGAGGCTCACCATTGCACCTCGGTGGGTTGAAACTCGCGACGAAACCTAATCGGGTGCGCTCTGGCGTGTAGTTTTTGTCAGTGAGGAGGTCTCGCAGCCCTCTTTTTAATCCATAACAATATATATATATAGATAACCATTGGCTCAGTGGTCTAGTGGTTAAGTGCTAGCGCGCGAAACCATTAGGTCTTGGGTTCGAATGTCGCCGGGGACGAGGTCATGGATGCGCACTGCTGAGAAGCCACACGACAGGATAAAACCGCCGTCTAGTGCTTCCAGGTTTTTCATGGTAATCTAGTTTCAACTGACTCATGCCCCAGGGTACAATTTTGGGGTCAGTACTATTCCTCTTGTATGTAAATGACCCTCCTCGTCTCCTATCATCATCGGTCTTGCTATATGCTGACGATGTCAAGATTTGTAGAGCGATACGATGTGAGGGTGATAGCTTAGAACTCCAAATGACCTGAAGAAATTATCTGAATGGTCTCAAACCTAGCAGTTGCCAATAAATACCTCTGTGGCGGTAAATAAATCCCCAAAATAAATAGCTCTGTAAGTTTTCGACATTGGATGCGTGCCACATGTTTTAATGGACTCACCTAGCTGAAGGCGCTCATTCATGCATCCGCACCAGATCACGTCGGGCTCACCAGTGTAGATCACCAACGTAGATGATCTATGTCGAAAATGATATGAGGCCTACTCAAGTTAGACGTGAGTGGTGTGACAAACTAGCTAGCATCGAAGTCACATCTCGTGGTCAACACCTTACGTGGACTACCCCATTGACGTATCAAGGTACCATAGATGCTTTGGAGACTGTGCAACACGGAGAACGGTATTACAGAAATATATTAGTTAAAGTAGATACAAGCGAAATTAGGACCACTGCCGCATGGGCCATTCTATGGCATATGATTAACTGATGCGCGTTGGTTGTCCCTGATCTCGACGAGAATCAATGATTTGCTCGATATTCAATGACCCAACTGCCGTATGATTTGGCCAGGGCTTAGTGACATTTCGCTGGCCTTACAACACTCCCCCACACTTCCAAGTGTGTTGTGATGCATATCGGTCATCAAGGTACAGATGCATACACGATGAATAACACTGAGCTACCTGTCGTCCAGACATATAATGACTTAGGAGTCATCGTTAGCCAAGGCCTAAAGACTACTGCATACTGCCGTGCAATAGCCACCAAAGGTTTTAGGACCTTATGGTCAATACTTAGGGCTTTTAGTCATGTCGACGCTAGGACGTTTTTGACTTTGTATACAGTGTTCGTACGTCCTAAACTTGAGTACCGCATACAAGTGGCCAGCCCCTGCCTAAAAAAAGACAGTGAACTTCTGGAAAAGGTTCAAAGAACGGCAACTAAGCTGATTCCGGAATAGCGAAGCTTCCGTATGAAGCTCGACTGGCCAAGCTGAACCTTTTCCCGTTGTCATATCGCAGAACTAGAGGAGACTTGATTACAGTTTTCAAATTGCACCTGATACGCCCTCATTTTTCTTGTCTCCTAAAACAGAGAATTTACTAGGACACTCCAAAAAAGTTCACAAGCCCAGAACAAATTACGTGTCAGCTGACTATCGACTTTCCCATCGAATCACCAGCGAGTGGGATTCATTACCTCAGCACGTGGTTGAGGCTCCATCCGTCGACTCTTTTGAAAGAAAGTTGGATCAACTGAGAGACCACCATTGCCAGGATTAACACAGGCCATCAAGCCTCCTGTCCTTCCCAAACTGAAACTGAAACGGAATCAAGATATTAGTCGTAGTTTATAATGAGGTAGTCGACCTATTGCTGAGTTCCCTTGTCAGATAATCGAGTGTCTTTACAATATCAGGGATACTATCTGAGGAAAGTGTTCTATTTATCTCTTCCAACTTCAGACTGGGTTTTGTTTAAATCTGCTGATGGAATTCAGATAAACAACCAGAGGGTTGTCCCTCGTAAGGTATGTTAACAGTGTCTCCAGTCGGAGAGGATTCTAGTACTCTCGAGTTTCGAGTTCTTATACATAACAACGTCGTTTTTAACTAGTTCACACATATAATCATAAACATACATCGCGCTAATGCAGTTTACACCTGCATCTTATTTGGTGAGTTAACTTATCGATACGTTTGATTAATTTACTGAACATCGGACTGTACTTGCTGGTAGTTGCAGGGGAATTAAGTTTCGAAGAGTTTTTATGAGTTTCTTTTATCTTTCAGATTTTACATGGCAGATTCCGATGAAGAATCCGATCGCCGTCGTAGCCGTGACAAATTTCGCCGTGAACGTAGTGATCACGATGGACGTCGTCGTCCTGGTGATAAACGAGAGCCATTCGACGACCGATCAGGCACTGTAGGTGTTGCACCGGCTCGTGAAGATAATCGTTTGTCAGGTGAAGGTCGGAATGACCGTGGACGATCACCTGCAGAACCTCCTTACAAAAGACCTCGTAAAGATAACAGTGATGATAATAAACCAAGTTCATACCAACGAAAGGATACCAAAAGTTCAAGTGTTTCGGAATACGATGGCATGTACAGGCCTCCAGTAATACCATTTAAACGGTTTCTTGATCCTTTGGACGACTTGATAACTGAAGAAGAGGCGTGTAGTAAATACAAAGAATACAAAGAAGGATATATGAAGCGTCATACCGAAGAGTTCTTTGATGCACACAAAAATGAGGAATGGTAAGTCAGTATACAGTGGTTTATGTTTAATCCGTCTTTTAAACCGTGTCACGGTTACTAGATAACGTCAACAAACTTTCAGTTTATTTTAAATTGAAGTGTCAGTCCATTGTGTTTGTATTGCTGTCATAGCTAAGTCATGCTGAGGAAGTGAGTTGATGAGGCCCATTGCGTTCCGACCCAACAAAAATGTTGGTGATCACTAGCTGTCGTAAATGTAACTTGTTTTCGCTAATGCCAATGTTAGATATGAAGAGAAAGTTCGATAAACTTATTGGTCATTAATGAATAGATATCCCCATTGGTCATCGATAAAACCCACTGGAATAGTTGCTCTTATAACTGATGCTTCAGTGGGATTATTTCACACACCTGTTACTGCTTTTCAAAACTATCTAAAGTCTCGTACATGAGTGTGTCAAGACAATTCCCTTAAGGTAGTCGACTCCAGAGGTATTAGTTTCGGACGAATCCAGCTACAAGTGTATTGATGCTTCTCATCTTGGTGGTAGACTTGGTTCTCTAACTAATTAGTGTCATAAACGATATTAAGTCGAAGTAGCAATCTTTGGTGTTCAAAATCATAGGTCGGACTAGTGCAACCGATTGAAGATTTGAAGCTCTTTTGGATGATTCAATTAATACGATATCAAACTTGATGTACTTGATTGCGTACTTGGCATGTTTAAAGCACCTAAAACAATTTTGAACCTGAGTCGGTAAATTTTCCTTCATGATGTGTTAGTGGTGGTTTTCGACCTTAGGGTATCTCCAAAGTACCTAAGTTTTAGCTTAAAACCGAGTACAGGCATTCACATCTGGTAATCAGGTTACATTATATATTTTCTTGAATCAGAAGTTTAGGCCATCTGTTTTTTCAGCAGTGATTGTCTGAATATTTAGTCATCATAGTTTGTAGTTATCAAAAGCAGTCTTTTCTACTGAATATATTCCTTCATTTAGTTCATATCTAGCAGCCGGCTTAAGTAGACATAAAGCTTACTGTTTTAGTTTTAAAATTCTCTGAAATATCGTAATAGTGACGCAAATTTATACACTTATATTGTTGTATAGGCTTCGTCTTCGTTATCATCCCGATTACATGAATGAAAGAAAAGCCGCTCTTAGCGCAGCAGCCAAGCATCGTCTAGATGTTTTCATGGAGCTTTTACATAAAGGCTTTCTCGAAAATCAGTCTGTTCAAATGGACAATAGTGAGAATCTCATAAAACTCATGGATGCTGTTGTTATCAAACTTGAAGGTGGTTCTGATGAAGACCTAAAGGTACTTGAAGAATCTGATCGTAATAGATATTCAGACGAAGAAGTAGTACATCAGTCTCAGGTAGGTTGCTTTGGACTGCCATGCGCAATATGTTGATGAATTTCATGACATAACTTTTGGTTTGTGATTAGTTCTGCATGCACACGACATATTTATATTTAGGACTTGTTAGCCATAGTGTTTCATTTCACAGAGCTTTTGTGACAGAATTCTCCAAATCTCTATAAATTATGAAATTTTAAGTCTGATGGTTCTTTCAGTGGCTAAGTTACATGGGATTCATCATTTCCATGTATTTACTTTCCACACCCATTTTTCGAATTTTGTAGAAGTTAAACTTCATTGGATAATTAGAGAAACGAGTCTATTTTGTGGTTTTCGAACTTTAATCTATGAAGTTTTGTTTCATGATTCTGTGAGTAATTGTTTTAAATTTCCCTCAATTGTCTCTAGTCTTCTGGACCTATTTGTTGTGAAAATAAAAGTGAAGGAGAGGCTGAATCTGATGAAGATTTCGAACATGAGAAGCCTAACACAGAACTTCCTAGAAAAGTGATGCCAGAACCTCTTCACACTCCAGGTTCTACTGTGGAGTGTCGAACAACTAACCGACGTGCACGAACTGAGTCAAACAAGTCTGGTAGCTCAGCTCCTTCACAAAGTAGCCAGAGTAGCGATAGTGACAGTGGTTCTTCAAGCGATGACGAAGCTGATGAAAGCGCCAAACCTAAAGCTGAAGTTGAGCAGAAGTGTAGTGAGTTTAACTGGTTATTTGCTTTCTTAAGCTGGGAAACTTGATAATAGTAACGATAATATTTGAACTAAGTCAAAGAGACATTAGTAACATGGTCTGTGGCCCCCGAATGCCCTGGTATGGCCGAGAGTGGGGTGGGCCTGCCCTCCCTCTCGAAATGCTCTCACACGGCCAAGCGTATACAGCTTCTGCCAGGGAGGTCCTACTCACTGTCTTCTTGTGGCGGGCTGTTGTTGTTTACGAAATTGAAAGGACGAAAAGCGAATGTCCGGCGCTTTAACCGGATTCCAAATCAATGGTGCACATGGGCTCCAGTATCCTGAAGGAACAAATGGCGTATGAACCAATCGTTGGTCACCGGCTACCATGGGACTGCATCTCCTCACGATGCTCCACTGCCTTCTGGGTTAGACCTTTAGGTCAAAGGCTCGGGGTGTGGTCCCCTAAGAAAGCCACCTGCTTCGGTGTGGGCACCCGGGCAGTATCACAGCCCTCACACAAACCGAATGATTTATGTGGCGCATATCTATTTGATGCCTCCTTGTACCAATATCTGTGTTAAAATAAATAAAAACATGGTCTGGGGCAAATGTTGATTATTAGGTATGTCCGTGTTTCAGCCTCAACGAATGGTGTGTTGCTAATTGGTCCATACCCAGTCAAACGTGAAAACTATTTTAGATCTGTTAACCGCCTAGTGGTATTAGAGGTATAAATCTTATAAAACATGTTAATCAGACTAATTCTTCTATTAGCTTAGTTTAATTTAGATACATATGTGCAATTCGCCTGTGCAGTTTGATCTTGTTTAAAAACGCTTTCATCACTTGACCAATTCGCTTCATTTTGAACAAGCAAATATTGTCTTTGATGTTTTACTTCAACTTGTGTAAATGTAAGGGGGTTTGTTAATATTGGTTGGTATCGGTCAGCAACAGACTCAACTAACGTCACTTGTTCACTTTACCGCAAGCAGCTCAAATAGTCCATTTTGTGTAAAAATGTGTCTTTCATACCAAACCAAAACAAAAGTTTGGCATAATGTGGGAAGAATAGTAAATTGTCGCACTAGCCTAGACCATATAGTGGCTTAAAGATTATCAGGGCAAAGTTCATTGTTACGACAAATTGTACAAACTGTAGTGGTCCCCTAATAAAACCACCTGTTTCTGTTTACGGACTCTGATAGTTCACACAAATCGAATGATAACTACTTTGTGTGGCGCATATAGGTTTTGGTGTCACTTTGTACCAATGTTTGTGTTGAAATATATATATATATATATATATATATATATATATATATATATATAACAAGCTGTACACATACAGGGGGTTTGAACTTGCGAATAGACGAGGCTTCTGCAAACCTGAAAATTCATCCCTGACAATTTTTGTACAACATTTTAAAGCTGTTTTGATGTCAATTCTATGCCCTATTTCCTTTATATATCGTGCTACCGATGAACATATTGTTTTACTTCCCAAGTTTACCGGAGCGACAATTTACTATTCTCTCCATATTATGCCAAATTTTTATCTTTCCTTTTACAATAATCACTTTATTTGGAATTTTAGTTAGTTGGTCTTATATTGATTTTCATATAAAGTACTTTGATGAGTTCATATGGTTCAAATATACAACACAAATACACCACATTTCCAGTTCAATTCCATCTTCCGACTGTTTTTATTAAAATTTATGAAAAAAACTAATTGTTTAATAAGGATTATTTTCTACTTTTTGTTTGATAAACCTGTATTTAGCAGTCAGTCATAATCAACGTATAGTATAGCACAAATAACTGTTAGCCCAAGTTACCGTACTAAATCTTGTTCTTGGTGATTGAGTTAACCTAGCCGAATTGACATTGGATTTACCAGCATGTTGGATGTCATTGTTCTCAAATAGACCTCTATCGTTTGTGCCTGTCCATAATAAAACTCTGATGTGTAGTCGTCTTTTCAAGTTGTTAAATATTATTTAGTTCTGATCGCGAAAATGACATTTTTCTATAATTTACAGATGAACTCGGTAATATTCATGACGTCGCAAGGTCTGAAGTTGACGAAGATGACGACGATGTACCCACTCCTACAACTGCCGAGTCCCCAAGAGGATGTAAAAATGAAGACTCTTCTGTTTCTATGATCATCGGCTCGGTAAATGATACACCTGTCAAACATCCTATTTTTGGAGATCCTTCCAACGCTCCTCAGTCCAAGTGTGCAAATCCACCAAGACTGCTACATAAAACTGCCTCTATATTCTTCCGAGCGTTACCTCCAACTATAATGGAAAGCGAACTCAAAGAGGTTTGTTCTACTTTATAAATCATGTTTCTCATATTTCGGAAAGACGTTAAATTTATTTGGATGATATTGTGAGTCTAGACATATGCTATCCGTATAGTTATCGAGTGAAATTGATTCGCTTCCATAAAAAATTTGTCAGTGAGATGGGTTTCTCGTGAGATGAGATTCTGTACAATTGATAAAATCATCTAATTACCTTATCAATTGTCATGATGTATTTACCATACATTAATTTATTGAATCGTTTTTCCAATGTCTAACTTTTTCTGTTATCATTCATACTGTCACTACCTGTGCTACTCTGAAATTCGACCTGATAATTTCATCTTGCTATACTAATAGGATATAACAAATTCAACTGATGTACATATGTTTCAGGTTCTACGTTGCGTTTGACGGACTTAACTTACAAGTGCCTTATGCCCTGTCAGCTAATCAACTTTAATCCTACTGGTTAGTATCAGATTCGACAAACGTCACTTTACTTCAAGTAGCTCAACTAGTTCATTTCGTGTCTCATACCAAACCAAAATAAATGTTTAGCATAATGCGGGAAGAATAGTAAATTGTCGCACTATCCTGGAATAAGAAATTAGATTTTTATATTTCTAAACAAAGTTACTGAAGTAAAATATTCGGCGAGACTATAATTTATGGATGAATCAATCGGATTTAGGATAACAGGTCTTGGCTGTCGGCGCGACATTCACCCATTTGGCCAAATAGCCCCTTGGCATTTTAACTTATGTTAGTTCGTGATGACAAACCGTAAATCTAATTCCTAACCCTAACCATCGACTGTGAGTCATAATCCTTATTCTTCAAACTGATTTATAACCGTCATTTAGCCCTAGTAAGTAGGTAGATACTCAAGGTCACTTTGGCGTCGCTCAAAGGTCGTCCATAAATTATAGTCTCATCAAATATTCTAGACTCGTTTAACTGCCTACTTAGTTGAATCTAATGTCCTCAATAACACTAGGTAGTTTGTGGTGGTAATGGCAAATTTACGGCACACTAGTTTTGATTTACCATTATAGAAGTATTTTCTGATACTAATTTGTTATCTTTCTGTGTAAGGTGTATTATTATAATTAATATTTTTGTCAGTTAATCAACACAGCAATATTTTAGTGACTATGTTTGTTATTTCAGCTTTGCGCTTCTCAACCTGGATTCATAAGACTGGCTCTTTGGGAACCTGTTCCTGAACGTCGATTTATGCGACATGCATGGGCCACATATGATCCTTCTGTTAACATCAAAAAGATATGTTGGGCGTTAAATACCAGTACTTTATTACGCGAAAAACTTGAACTTCCAAACGGAGAATTAGGTGCTACAGTTAATCGTGATTTAGCCCAGAGAGTTCGTCCTCTTACTCCTCTCACACGTCATAAACCAGTTATGCGACAAGATTTACTCTTGGCTGCGCAACTTGTCGCACGTTTAGATGCTAAACATAATCTATGGAGTCATTTGGAAATTCCTGATAGTACAAATGATTTGAATACAATTGGTAAGCTCAAAATGAATGGTGATTCGGAATTCAAGAATATTTGTGATTATACAGCTCTGGAAATGGCTATTAAGAGTAAAAATCCATTACTTAAAAATCTGACAGACTATCTTGTTGATGAAGGTGGAAGTGAAGAAGAAGCACTTATAGGTTAGTTTAACAGTTGAACGAGGTTTATTTATTGCTTATTCATTGTGTTGTGTTGTCCATTCTTATGTAGAATTTAGTTATGGACGAATGGTTTAATAATATGTCCTGTATGCTTATTCATAAATCATGTCTTTTATCTTCACTATCAACTAACGATTTTTATATCTTTTAGACACTTACATGACAATTAATGTACTCAAATATTCATTGTAAAAGCTATTTCCTTTCACTTTGATGATTATTGTAAGGCCGATGGGTGTATCCTTCATAAGCTTTCTAGGAAGTGCTATTTTTGTCGCAATTAAAAATTTTGACTCATCAATATCCTATTATGAAGCTTTTCCATTGTAACAGCCGTTCGACATTGTAATTTTAAAATGTACTTATCATGGCGATGTATTGATAAAAACATTTGTCTCATATGGCCATGTTTTGTAAAACAATGTAGCTTAGTGGTTAACGAATTCGGTTTTAAGCCAGGTCTCAGCTTGAAACATTGCTTCATCGCTTACAATGGTTTGGCCAGCAGGTTAGTAGTATCCATCAGCTCTCGCGCATCCTAAGTGTAGCTCAAAGCTCTGAGTACATATTTGTATGTTGTTTCATCCCGTGAATGAAATCTCCCAATGGTCACTAGTAAAAAAAGTTGCAAATGATTGTTATGCTTTCTACTTCAACAAACGTATTGTGAATTCTATCGAAGCGTCCAACTATACACAGCTGAGATTCGGGTGAAGTCGAAGTCCAACAAACAACGATTTGTCTAAAGGACAGTTCTGTTATTAAGAAATATACATAGATTGGTTACAAATCTCAACTCATGGGGCCTCTGTGGCGGTTAATGCGTCTGTGTGCCTGGAAAGAGAAAGATATAAAATACCGTCATTGGGTCTGTGATTGTGTCGAAAGTCGACAACAATTACTATCAATCAACGTAAGGACTGGGAACACAACTATGGAAACTGTTGCTCTTAAAACCATTCAAGGAATAGACAGAAATTATGGATAACGGCTAAAAAGGTTGAGAGAATGTAATTGTAATGATAAATGCAGTAAGTGTTATTAGTTAATGTAAATGCTTTAGGATATTACAGGACCAATAAACGTGCGTTACATCATGAGCTCAGAAGTTATTAGGAATGGAACTGTCTACTGAATATTAACAAGTAGTGTAAGGCGATACGGGGCAATAAGTTGAATAATAGGAGAATAAAGACAATTTAAACGCACTTAACCTGGACTAATTCCTTGTATTTTTACAACCAATTTATGTATGTTTTTGTCTAATCCTTAATATTGTTTCAATTGTATTTATCCTATCAATATTCATTATTTCAATTTCTTCAACGTTTGGAATATCCAGCGGAAACTCAAGCAGAAGGTGAAGGATGTGACAATAGTAGTAATACTGTAGTTGGGCGTGTTCACACTGTAACATTGGAATCCGATCCTAATTTGGCTCGTACTTTAGATCTGTTAATACTCTATTTACGTATTGTCCATTCTATGGATTACTATGCAGGAGCTATCTATCCCATGGAGGATCTCATGCCTCATCGATGTGGAATTCTTCATGCAAGAGGTGACAGAGGAATAAATCCTGTTCCTGGTGCTCGTTCTAGTGGTCTGGCTTTCACTCAAAGAGAAATTAATGATCACCTTCAGGTATGATAAGAAAGATAAACGACGACATTTTACATCAAATAATAGTTGAAGCGTGTTTAATTTTTAGTTGTACCGATAAATATCATAACCGGTGGTTAGAGACCTTGAATGACATGGCTTAAAAGCGCTTGTACTGACCCAGATGCATTCATTCTTTGTTAATGGCTAAATATCTAAGCTGATTTCTCCACAATTTTTTTTATTTCACTAGTTTATATCCTATAGAGTCGTATCTTCGATACTTAGTCTTCTATATTACCACTGATACTGTTACGAATTCTACTATTCAGGGATTTGTCTTAACAATTCCAGCTATCTGCAGTAATTGGGTCTGTGAATTGAACCTATGTACACGTGTGCCAAGTTCTACATTGCACCTGACTGGTTGATTGACTGTACAGATTAGATTACTGTTGATCTTAAATAACATTTACAACTTTTTCTTTTAAAACATGAGAATACTCTTTAGTTTTTGATCTTATCTTTCAGCACTGTGTACTCTACTAGGAACCTCACGACCCCATAAGACTACTAATACTCACGAGAGATGGGGGAAAAACTAGGTTTGATTAGCATTAGTCCATATTTTTAATAACTGCATCGTTACAGAATTAATGTTTTTTGTTGTTTAGTCATTGCAAATCGTATATCCTTTGTATAGAATACCAGTCATAATAAGAAATTTCAACCAAATCGTTGACCACAAGATCCAGTTGAATTAATAGCACAAGTAAATGCCATTTTCTAACATGCTGCTGTGTTTTCATTAATGCATATATAGTGGTATCAGTTAGTTAGTCAGTTGCAATGTAGGACCAATCACCAGTCCAAGTTGCCACGTTTTATTAGCACAACAAGATGAACACCAAATTCATAGAAGTAGTCACTTCAATGGTAGTAATATATAAAGATTGTACATAAGGATATAATATAGGAACAGTTAATTCGTAGAAAGAAAGGTATAAAGTAATTTTAATCTCACGGTTTAAGGGAAGACAAGGAGTCTATACGCCTACGCCATTGTGATGGATTCTGACCCATATCACCCAGAATCTCCAACCATTGGTTACGATAGTCACGCGGGCCCCAACCAAGTCTGCATCTACCAACATGGCCCAGATTAGAATTTAGTGACTTCAAGGTCTGATGCCAGTCTTGAGACAACAATTTACGTTTGAATGGAGAGAAACGCATTCTACACATCCTGGTGTTGTTCCTCAGTGCTACCAAAAGACTGCATTTTATCAGTGTCTTCACCAAACAGGACTATGTCATCTGCGTATTCCAAGTCGATAAGTGAACCTCCTGGAAAGAGATCAATTCCTGGGAATTCCGTTAACGAAAAAAATTATTTCTAGCAGTGATATTGACCAAAGGACGTTTGACTTTACTTCTTTTCTCTAAATTTAAAGGTGTTCTTATCCCAAGTATAGCAGTGGCTTGGAATTTGGTTACAGTACTCAATCTTTAGTTAATATGTCTCACGTTTTGAACTCGTTCCATCTTTTGTGATAAACTTCGAGTCAAATATTTTGTAAACGGACCATTAGTGCTTTGTTGTGTGATACTGATGTCGACAGATACAGGTAAAATGTCTCACCAATCGAAAGTGAAATGCCTGGAGGCAGAAAGTCAAGAAGATCGAACAGACGAGAACGAGAACAGATATTGACTGGTGTGGAAAAGAAGAATCAGTCAAGTATAAGACAGTTGCTAGATATTTTGCAAATAAAGAATTTGCCGTATGGTTCTCAAATTTTACTAATTGATTCTGTAATTTTGTTTTGAAATACATTTGATTGTCCCTATTTGCATTCTCGTTCACTACAATACTACATCAACTCAAGTTGTCAAGTCACTATCATGAAAACTATGTTTTTTTCTTTTTTGAGTTCTTAATTCGATAATGGGAAATCGAGTCTATACAATACTGTTCAGTAACCCCCTTATTTTTTGTTGTTTTTGTGATGGCTTGCTTAACCGATCCACACTTTATGTAGTTAAGATTGTCGATTATTACATATAAATTACATTTGAATAATAGATTTGTTATCTCTTTTGATTGGTTGATTGTTTTGATGAATTTTACATCCGTTTAATTAGTAAACTGATGTTATTTATTCTCTGAAGAAGTGACTTACGCTAAGTCACGAAACGTAAGAAAATCTAATTTTCTACTCATTGGGATATTACAAATATATTATTTATTTATGATGTTAATATATTTTTCTATATGGTTTTTTTTCTTGATTTCAACATTTTCATCTTAGAATTTCGCTTTAAAATTGCGTACTCTTATCGAGGTACCAAAAGATTTAACTGAAGAGGAAATGAAAAAGTTAGGTATGCGAGATCCTGAAAAAACTGCAGAAGAATTCGTTGAAGCTAATATTCAAAAAAGAACTGGCAAGAAAAAACCGTAAGTGTAGTTTTTTTATTATTTTTTTTTAAAAAAAGTTATCAGAAATGAGTGTTTTGAATGTTTATGGATAGAGACAAATAGAAATGTTGGACTACTGTTAAACATCACCTAACTTAAAGATTATTCATGGTATTCATTTACTGACTGAATGACTTGATTGTGCAGTAGTTCACATTTCTGTGTTTCACAATGAAGTTATGACAGAATCTGTTGTAATAGGAGATGGGTAGTAGAAACGTGATCATTAAACTCTACTAAATATCGTAACTAGATATTGGACCAAAGACTAAACTGGCATCAGATGATTACTATATACGTCATTATACTAGTTCACGTGAACCCGAACACCAATAATTGGGATCAGGGAAATAGTATCTTGAGACAAAGTGCCAGTTGTCAACAGAACTGAATCACAATAAAATCAGTTTTACGTAGAAAATGGTCTTTTATATTGACTGTAGCTAGGTATGTTTATCTTCGCTCATCACTTAATCATGGCTTACTTTAACCACCACTAATACATTAGAATCAAATATTAGGATTTGATCACCACCAATAAATGTAAAATTTAATATGGGATTTGTGTAACTACTCATTAACCTGCTTAATGTTCTTGGACACTACTTCACTCGACAAATTCTCATATCAGAACACAGTTGAGCAGGAATGTAATGATATTTCAATAACAAAAGTCGATGGAAGTAAAAATCACAACAAGAAAAACGTTAGTATATTTATAATTTTTACATAAAATTCTAGAGTCTTCTCCAAGTCTCCACAAGCTCTGATTGGTTAAGAAGTAGCCCAATTAGCGTGCCTCAACATAATCCTGCACGGAAAATGCTTTAATCCAATCTATATCACATTAACATAACTTGTTAGTGTAGATATAATTGTTTCGTCAAAGGGCTTGTAACACCAGTAGTGGTAGTGTACACTAAATTGTTCGATTTCAACATACAGAATTAAGCTAAGGTTATTTAGGTTGCTGCGTTTCAACGTTACAAGAATATAGATGGAGAATACTGAACAATAATCTGTTAATGTGTTTATACATGTTTATAATTAACAAGTGCACTACTCTGAGGTTTGCATTTTGAAGTTTCTGACTTCACTGACCTTCTTGAGTCACACGGTTTTATAAAAAAAATATAATTGTAAGAGACAGTCTACCTCGATCATCGAGATTTGGTCCTTCTATGTATATGTCACGTTATATTTTCCTACGAGCTCCTTTCCCAATGATTCTTGTTAATAACTTTTCACAGAAGTTTCATAAGAGTTCGTGCATGACACAATTGGATTGAATGGATAATTATAGTTGAAGTATGAGTGTTTTACAGGATGTTTTTTTGTTTAGTAACTAATCACACATGTAACGAAACTATTTATTTTAGATTTAAAGTTGTATGGGTATGTCCATTATCCGACAAGAAATTCCGTGAACCAATTTTTGTTCGTAAACATATTTTCAATAAACACATGGACAAGGTAGAAGCAGCTAAAAAAGACAATGCAATATTCTATAATAACTATTTGAAAGATCCTAGACGTCCATCATTACCAGAAGCTCCTTATCATTTGTTAAATCAATATTATCCATCTTTGAGTTCGAATTCAAATAGTAATAATCATACATACAGAGGTAGAGGTTCTGGACGTGGTAATACGGGTGGAAGTTATCGTGGATATAGGAATAATTCACTTCTTTCAACAGCACCAAGTTATGTACGGGGTACTGGAACTTTTCAGGTATGCTGTATACATGCAACTTATTTTCGTTTCGATATTGTTGATATATTTTGTCAATTTGAACATTTTTGTTGGTTTACTATTCATTTCTGTGGATTCAGAGATAAAAAGGTATCTTATGAGCTACTTGAGAAAATTTATAACATGAAATGTAATAACTTAAGCTTCTACTATACTGTCCGTCTACCAACTATTAACGCAAGTTTGCCGTCCAGCAATCCTTCAAGTATTGCTCTACGGTTGAAAAACACTAGAAGACATGCTTAGACCGGAATTATGTGATCATAGGTTTTCTCGAATTACTGGTTGTTTATTGTAGTAAGGTACTACTAGGGAAAAACGGAAAATCGGTAGATGAAGCTATATGTAAACCTTCCTGATGGACTAAGAGCCAATAGAATAGTAATAATTAATGGTTAAAGATGTTAGACGCCACGGCACAAATCTGGTAGTATTCGTACAATTGTATACACTATGTTCCTTTTAGTCTTGGCTTGAGTTTCACTACTTATTTACCGTCCTTCGGCCACATTTATTCCATTTGTATTCTTTTATACCTTGTTTATATATATGTTTTTTTTTACCGATTTTGGTGTATAGTTTCCTGTCCGTTCATACTCATCATGTTAATTTCCCTCCTCTCAATTCACTGATATTTAAAACTTTGAATAGACACTGATTCTTACCAAAGCTTGCGTTAATAATGATTGCTAACTATACTACTACTGGGTGCTTTTTTGTTCCATTTAAACTTAACATAATTGAATTTGTCGATGGTATATCTTGAATTTCACTATTGTTTTAATGGTGATATAATGAACTAAAAAATCGACTGTTATCTATTCATTTTGACTGATTATCTTAGTGTTTAAGAAAAGTTGTACATCTCGAACTAAATGACTCATGTCAGTACCAGCATTGTAATAGCTTTTCAAGTTTATTCCATCATTAATAACTATGAATTATTTCATTATTATTCAAACCCAAATACTAATAATGATATAAACATCATGCTTATTGAACAAATTTGTGGCTATCTACACCTAGTAGTAGCTCAGTTAACAACGCCTTGTAATTTAATAGTGAAGGGCCTTGGGTCAGAGTATCAATCTGTGAACATCAACACTAGGATGCAGGTATATTCACCCAATGAGTTCCAAATAAGGCGAAAAAAACTTCTTAAACCCTTCCGTGAGTTACAGGTCATTTATTAAGTAAAGTTTTTTGGACTGTTTTGTAAACTCCATTACTCAACTATTTTTCCCTTTGTCCAGGACTATTATGATGTGGCAGCTCAACAACAACAACACCAAGCTATGGCGGCTGTAGCAGCAGCAGCTGCTGCCGCTTTATATCCAAACGCTGCGACAGCAGCTGATTTGTATGCATTGGCTGCACAGGCAGGTGCACCTCGCACAGGTCTTGGAATGTCTAGGTCGCGTGGTCAACGTGGTTCTTCACCATCTCATGATTTCAATCATCGACCATATAGTAGTAGTAGTACATTGGATAATCGCCGGAGACAGCCTACAAACTATTCGACAAATAGGTAAGCTACAGTTATGACTCTTATGTTTGTATATATCAAACCCTTGATACACTTATCAGACGGTAGGTGATGCAAGGTTGGTAGGACACTAAACAGTAGATTCCGATAAAATCTTGTTAATATTTGATTGTATATCATGAGTTTTGTGTATGAATCTCTCTATCTTTGTATTTTCTGCCGGATTTATCACGTTTCCCTTTTTTGCATATTGTGCTATTCTTAATTGATCTGTGATTCTGAACAAATCAATCATAGTAGAACTTGTTCAATAAATCTTGTCTAAGCAGTTGTAAAAGTGAACATTGTTTTTAATGGGATCTTTCCTCATTCTGTGCTTTGTCTAATCAAATTGAAGAGTTCGCGAATTATCTCAAACTGGTAGAAGGCTTTCATTGAGGACAAAATCTCAATTAAAAAACAGTCGGTCCTGTTACCGTGGAGCTCTTCTCTAGTATACAGCCCACACCATGTCCGGGATCTAACCTTAGGATCTCATTAGTCTTGACTATAGATATCCTCAAAGCATCGGTCGTGCATTTTAGGACAATTGAATGAATAATCCCGGGTTTAGGGATAGAATGCTAGGTAAATATGGCAAATCAGTTGATAATGTTGTGGTGACTATTCATCAACTCGCGTAGTTGTGGTATGTGCTCGACCGCGTACATCGACGGGTGATGTTGCCTGGCTTAGGGGTGAGTAGATTGGAAGAAAGCTATGGGCGGCCAAAGTAAGACGTGGGACCAGTTCTTAAATTGATAGATAGTTGTACTGAGCCGTGTAAATTAGTGTAAACTACATGGTTAGGGTCCGCGTGATTGTCGTAACTAATGGTTGGAGACCTTATGTGGCATGTCTCAAAATCGTTCTCAATGGCACCGGTGCATTTACTCTTTTACTTCTCTTATAAATTGTGTCCCGAAATCTCCGTACACCTTTTTCTTTTTTTTCCTATACCTAGTCTTTACTACTGCTGTTGACACTGTTTCTACTTGTACTACTCTGGAAATTTATCTCGACAATTTTGTGTCTCTGTGTTAACGTGATACAGGAAATGGGACCAACACACACGTATTTCAGTTTCTGTGTTGCTCATAACTGACCAACTGTTTAGTAATCAGTTTCATATGCTAACATCTCGAAAACTCGAATTAAATTCCCTCTTTCCGTCCAGTACGCAAACTAAGATTTATAGGAATAATTACATAAAATATCAGCCTTGTCGTGGCTATCGATTTGATTTCGTGTGATGCTTGTATCCAATATTTATTCAGCTACTAATCACAATCATAATTCCCTTAAATGTTTATACGGTTTGTCTAATACACGTGTGTAACAATACACCTACATGATCGGTAGTGATCGTTCTCAAGTTTCTATCCTGTGAACATTCAGTTTCTTAACCAGGTCACCTTCATTAATTTTTTTGGATCATTTTGCTTTCGAAATACAACATTATCGTGCATAGATAATTAAGTATAAAACAATGACCAGTCAGCTAAAGGAAAGACAACGTTCAATTCAACAGAGTTTCAGTGAAAGTAGAACTAGGATATTATATCATAAATGAGAGTGGTATAATTGTAATTGGAATAAAAATAGTGTTTCACAAGTTTTTGTTAAATAAATTTTCGTCAACATCACTTGTCGTATTTATTGGCGAGACTATACAGACTATACTTAGTTAGCTTTTTCTTAACTTTTAGACGTCCAGTTGGTGGTGGTGGCGGTACTACAACCGGTGAACGAACAATGATATCATATAATGATTTAGATGATCCTGGAAATGATGTGCTTTAAATTGAATTAACTAATTAATCTAATCATCTTCATCGACTGTTACAACAACTGCTTTATTTTCTATGTTCTTGTTTTCTGTTTGTTTCTAAAGTTTATCACGTTGACACATTTAAATGAATATCATGTATATCTGAACATTGTGCATTTTCATATTCTTTCTTCCTTATATTAATTACAATAAGAAAAGTTCTATTAAAATTATTATTACACTTCTCAATTTACATATTTATATATGATGTTACTGTGTGAGAAACTATAATAATCAAGTTGATGATAGTAATATTTATTTATTTAAGCACATAAACATTGGTACAAGGAGGCACCGAATAGATATCCGCCACATGAATCATTAGATTTGTGTAAGTGCTGTGATACTGCCTGGGTGCCGAAACCGAAGCAGATGGTTTTCTTAGGAGGCCACACCCAGAGCCTTCGACCTGAAGTTTTGATCCATAAGCCAGTGATCAACTATTTTTTCCTTCAGGATCCTGGAGCCCATGTGTACCATTAGTTTGAAATGAGGGTTTATCAAATGATATCTGAGAATCTAGAATCCCCGACAACATGTTATCAAAAGATCCTGATGACATTAGTTCTCAATATTTCGTTGTGTAAGATTTTATTTTATACTCAGAAATAACAAATGAGTCATGTGTAAAGGAAGTTCACTGTACACTGTGTGTCAGTTCAATGAAAATGCTCGAGATTCTTAATGTACTTATGTATTTAAGAACAACAAATATTGATCTAGAGGTTAAGTGTTTGTATACGAGACCAAATATCCTCGATTCGAGTTCTGCGTGTGGGATCGGGTATGAGCATTGTTGAGGAGTCTCATATTAGGACGAAATGAGTGTTCATTGCTTTCAGGTTTTCAATGGTGGTCTAGCTTAAATCGACTCATCAATTCAACTATTAAAATATTGATAGCTTAAAAGAAGCTTGATATGAATGAAATGAATACAGTCATAATGATATAGAAGCATGTACAATCCATGTGTATGACATAGGCAGTACAATAGTCAACATAATTTCTTGTTCTCAGTCCATATTCATTATGCTAACTAAAATACATATTATTCTTTGTTGACTTTCATATGACTTCTGTGAAGACATTCAGTTTATTATGCAGACACCGTTTTAGACAACGTATAAATTAGTTTATCTATCTATCTACTACCCAATTAGCCGATGCAATCACTAGTTTGTTTAAAGGTAATCATAATCTTCATAATTCTTATCAATCAATGAAGGTTCAAACCCTCAATTGAAATCATCAGAGCCAAAGGAGAAGTAAGAGAACAAAGAACACATTACACCGAGTAATGGAGACAGATAAGAGAAGAATGAATAACAATTGGATAGAGATAGAAAGGAAGGCTGAGGAGAGAGTGGGTTGGAGAATGCTAGTCGACAGCCTATTGGATGTACTTGCATCTCAGAGATGATTTGGCTATCATAAATCAGTATTTAAGTGGATAACGCGATGGCGTTTGAAGTGAACGGTACTGGGTTTAAGTGCCGGAGTGAACACCAACTCTGATTCAGGTACATTCATCTGACAAGCCTTAAATAGAACAAAACACGCATCAAACTGGAATCCAATCTTTGCTCGAAATGCTTGTGACTTAAGGCAATATCGAGACAAACCTCACATATTCGTAACTTTATTCAACAAGAAAACATGTTATAAGGTGGTTAGATGTTTTAAAGTTTGATATAAATAAACAAACGATGAAAACCGATTATGTTCTGTAACATATAAGTTTTCAAGTTCAAATTATATAACCCGGTAAATTGTTGAATGGATAAATGGATGCATTTGAACTATTACAAGTACTGGTTATGTTACAAATCATACCAGTAGTGGTTAAATATGTAGTTGAAAACATATTATATAATAATAATGCAGCTAAAGTATATTCTGTACAAAAGATACGTAATCGTAATTTGCCAACTGTTATTTGACTGACAAATATTGTTATCTATAAAATAAATGAAGTGAAACAGTTAGATTAAACCTGAAAACAAGTACCTTTTCTAGTGTTGGTTGAACAAACAAACAATCTCTATTGAATATATATTAAAATAAGGAGACATTTTCCAGTATGGAGTTGTAGAGATTATTAAGATATTCATTGACATCATGAATCGACTGATGTTAGAACACCATTTAAATCCTGGATGTATTGGACAACTGTTTCGACCTAGTGAAGTCCTCCTCGATAATGTACATTCACAATTCCACTTGTGGGATTCGAACCCATTGGAGTGAGGTATTTACTAACCACAGATAATGGAAGATAGTCCCACAGTTTCGTGGGTTGATTAAAGTTGGACACTGACATCGTTGGATTCCGGCTCACTGATCTAGTTGTTAAGCGTTTGTTCGCGAGACCGAAGGTTTTGAGTTGGAATCTTGTGAACGACATCAAAGACGCGCACTGTTGAAGAGCCACATGCTAGGACGGAACGGCCGTCTAATGCTTCCATGTTTTCAATGGTTGTCTGAAAGCAATCAGATTACGATCTCAGTGAAATATGTAACAATCTCCAAAATCTCATACTGGAATATGTTTCATTTTAAGGTGTAAAATGCCTAACCAGACTGGATTTCATTTATGTGAACAACATTTTCATGTCACATTCACCAGCTATTATAATAAGGCAATGAAAATCCATCGAACAGATTCTTGAGGAATGTAAATGACAAGATGATTTTTAAAATACCAAGAGAGCAAGTGTTCATTGGAGCAATGGGTTTCACCGATTCCCAGTACTGCCAAGTTGTATCTCCTCATTCCGTTGCTAGTTGACTGGTCATCCCAGTTTCCCACATTGTCCGGACGTTCCATATGCCTATGAACATTTTTGCTCTGGTTGTTAAGAGGGGCATCGGCCTCGTGGCTTCCGAAGGAACTTGGCTTTCATCATGAGGCGTCATATTTCTTCTAAATGAAGACCTTCTAACTCGCAGCGCAGAGTTTAAATGGTTTAAATTATTTTTTCTGCCTAGCGTTTTTTTCAGCGGGTTAGTTTTCTGTGGGATAGGGTCGCTAACCCCATGCCCAACCCTTCTCTTTTACCCGGGCTTGGGACCGGCAGTAACTCTAGAAGAGCTACAGGCGGAGTTTTTAATCACCTTACTTCATCATAAAGACCAGCTCTAATACAGTTTCTTTTCAAGTATCTTGAAAAGATGTATCCTTCCATCATCTGAACTACAATTAAGTAGTAACTCCTCCAAACCTCTAAACAACACTCAATATCACCTCATGCATAAACGAACCTTGTTTTTATCACTTAAAAAATTCTACATTTGATTTTGTGCTCTTCATTTACACATCCAGATTCAGATATGTGTAGTAAGAATAGAAAACCTACCTATAGCCTATGTTATTTCTTTTCTAGCATATTTCTGTGAATGACTAGTCTTCTCTTGAATGAGTCGATTAAAGGAATGAAAACCATTGTTTCAAGTGACAACTTGCAACAATTGATAACTCAGTGTAAAAACTTGTATGTTACGAATATTTTATTCATCTTTAACTTTTCCACTCATGTACCATATCCTCTACTATGTTCCGATCTGATAAGAAGAAAAAAGAAAGAGAATTCAAATGATACATGAAATAATTATTAATTCAATAGTTTCTAGTTTTCCAAAAAAACGTTCTTTTCAACTAATATCCCCCCTCTCTCTCTACCCCCCCCCCCAAAAAAAAGAACTCTTTATCTCATTCCCAAACTTGACAATTTCCTATGAACTACCTATTATAAAACTATAATAATAATAATTCCCATCTAATGGATAACAGACCTAATTCTCTCTCGCTCGCTTGCTCTCTATGTCTATGCTAATGTTCGACCTAATAATAATAATAATAATACAATGTGAATTATGTCATCTTTTTTCAAAAAATCCCCATCATCAAAATTGTTGATAATAATAATAATACATTGAACAATTGAATATTCAAGGTCAGCGTTTAATATTTATCTCATCCCAATCATTCATTTTATCCTGAATAAGATCAAGGTCACTCGAACGGTACGTTTTTATTATTTGATAACCACATTTAGGAATAATAATAATAATAATAGTAATGGTGGCAATAGTAATAATGTAATAGTAACGATAATAATAGTAATGGTAGTAATAGTAAGAATACTAGTAGTGATGGTAATAATGATAGTAATAGTTATAATGCAATAGGAATGACAATAATAGTAATTATCAGAATGTGTTTTGTGGCGATTTTTAGAAATTTTCACAGATTGAACTCATGAGTCAGTTGAAGCTAGACCACCATTGAAAACCTGGAAGCACTGGACGGCCGTTTCGTCCTAGGATGGGACTCCTCAGCAGTGCGCACCCACGACCCCGCACCACCCGGGGCTCGAACCCAGGACCTACTGGCTTCGCGCGCGAGCACTTAACCATTAGACCACTGAGCCGGCATCCAACGGTGTTAATGTCTAACTTCAACCAATCCACGAAGTTGCGCTACCGTACACCATTGTCCTCAGTGAGTTCCTATCTCACAACAGACCTGGTTGAACTCCACTGGTAACGACTTCTCACTAGAACTCCTGAAGTCAGTCACTAGTGAGCAGGTGATTGTTATTATCAGAAACGGCCGTCCAGTGCTTCCAGGTTTTCAATGGTGGTCTAGCTTCAACTGACTCATGAGTTCAATCTGTGAAAATAATAGTAATAATAATAATAATGGCAGTGAGAGTAATAATGGTAATAGTAATGGGAATGATAGTAATTGTAACAGTAATAATAGTAGTAGGAGGTAATAATCATTGTTTTATACTGGATTAAATCAAGGTCAACTCCGCCTGGAGTCCCTCCGGGGGCTACTGCCGGTCCCAAGCCCGGATAAAGGAGGAGGGTTAGGCATGAGGTTAGCGTTCCCATCCCGTAGAAAACTAACTCGCTAAAAAAAAACGCCAACCAGAAAAATCAAGGTCACTCAACGGTATTTTTTTATTACTTGGTGACCACACTTGGTAATAATGATAATGGTAATAGTAATGTTAACAATAGTAATAATAACAGTAATAGTATTAGTATTGCTAACAACAATAATAATAGTAATAATATTAATGGTAATGGTAGTAATGGCAATAATAGTAGTGGTAGTAATGATATTGATAGTAATAATAATCGTAGTGATGGTAGCAGTAATAGTGATGATAATAATAGTAATAGTAATTATTATTTTTACTTAAACACATAAACATAAGTGCAAGAAGGCACCAAATGGATATGCGCAACATAAATCATTCGATTTGTGTGAAGGATGAGATACTAAACGAGTGATCAAACTGAAAAACGTGGCTTTGTTAGTGCGTCATATCCTGAGCATTTAACCTAAAGGTCTAATTCATAAGACAATGCAGCAACATCAGGAGATGCAGTCCCATAATAGCCGGTGACCAACAATAGGTTCATACACCATTTGTCCCCTCAGTGTCCTGGAGTCCATGTGCACCATTAATTTGTAATGAGAGTTTTTCAACTGTTCTAGGTGGACTGTCCGTGTAAGTCAACCCGGTTAAAGCACCGGACATTCGCTTTTCGTCCTCTGAATTTCCTAGACAACATTTATGCCGCGAGAAGGCAGTGGTTGTAGGCATGTGGCCATGTGAAGGCATTTGGGGGCACATAATAATAGTAATAGTAATAATAGCGATATTAATAGTAATACTGACTGTTGGAGTGATCCAGAAAACTTCTCGCAAAAGACAAGAAAGGCTCAGGAAACATTAAGAAACATTTCATCCAATCAGCGTTAACTTGAAGTTTTAGCCAAAAATATCAAGAAAGTGAAAAGTTACATGTGGAGTTTCTGATTGGATGATTATGTATACTGCTATCATGTTAAGTAGCATTCCAGAATCTTCAGGAAACCCAAGGATATCTAAAATACTATAAAAACCCTATATTTTCTGTATTCAAACGAACCTTTGGAGTAAAGTGCTTCTCGTATATCTTTGCGCCTTTTCTTTCGTGTTCAGGTGGCTGGGTAGTTCTAGTTTAGGGGTTTAGGAACCGAATATAACGTTCAATTAGCAAGACTTATCAGTGACATCAATAATAATAGTGGTAGTAATAATAATGATACTATAATGATACCCTTAGTGAAAATTAGTCGCTAAATCTAGTTTCTGGCCTAATTTGTTTCAGAGAGAGAGAGAGATCAAACTGTAAATGAATGAACCAATTAAAAGAAGAACGAAAAAACAAACAAACAAACAAACAAAATAACTGACTTCAATTAAATTGAACAAGTAAAACACATCATTGAGGTTATTTAATAAATAATAATGGATTATATTTACAAAATATACTCATTTATAATATATGTGGGTGGTTATAGGAACCGGTAATAGAATGGGAAAAAAAAAGATTAATACCTCTCCCCCTCCCCACTCTTCTCAATATCTATATTAGTGAGAGTATTATTAGAATGGAAAAAAATGAATACCGCTCTTTCCTCCCCCCTCCCAATCAATCAAGCAACCAAACACCCACCTACCCTCTTCCCAAAGTATTAATAAACGTTAAGTAAAAATGAGTTTTCATTTAATTCACTGAAAGATTAAATATGATTATGTTTAAACAAAATTTATTATACATTTGGTTATATACAGTTACTATGATTATCTTTATATATGGATATGATGATCCATTCTATATGGATACTGAATATCCAACATCACTATCCCCTCCACCACCACCATCATCATCATCATCATCGTTATCGTCATTACTGAAATCAAAGAAGACTAATTCTATTTTTCAAAATTTACATACATTCTATTGGATAAATGGAATTGATTCAAGGAATCCTTATAGAGGATATTATGAATCTTATATGAATAAACGGAAATATTCACATCATCATGATCATCACCATCGTCGTCGTCGTCGTCGTCGTCATCGACGTCATCATCAAAATCGTCCATTTTTATCATTACAAACTGATTTATTTAAATTACTTAAAGGTAAACGTAAAATAAATAATGATCATGATATTGTCATTGATCGATTATTAAATAATGAAATATTTAAATTAAGAGGTTGGAGACCACAACGTTATGGATAATATAAAGGTAATATTAGTTGCTATGGGATTAAAAACATTTATAAATGTATTGATTTGTATTACTGATAATGAATAAATAAATAAAAATATCAAAACTGGGCAGTTCAGTTTGAATTCACAGTTCTTTGTGTATTTGGAAAGGAATAAGGAATTTCTTGAAATTTCTGATTGAAACTAATAAATGATCCAGAATCTGAATACTGGTCGGGCTCACCAGGGTAGATGATCTATGTCGAATGATTGGAGACGGGAATGGCGTAACGAACCAGTTAATATCGAAGTCACACCACGTTGTCAGCACTTTATTTGGATTACCCCATTGACGTATCAAGGTAGTATAGATACTTTGAAGACTGTACAATACAAAGGACGTTATTACAGAAATATATTAGTTAAAGTAGATACAAGCGAAGGTAAGACCACGGTCGCATGTGTCAGTACATGGCGTACGATTAACTGGTGTGCGTTGGTTATCCTAGACCTTGACAGCGATCGACTCGATATTCAGTGACCCAAATGCCGGATGATTTGGCTAGGGCTCAGTGACATTTCAAAAAATTGGCTCGTTTGAAGATTACAAGTACACATATCCGATCGATAAATAAACAGCAGCACGAATCTTTAGTTCTTACTTGTTTAATCAGGTTGGCGTTTTGTGCTTTTTAGCTCAACTCTCCTTCCTAAGTCGGACTTCGAGCCTATCAATATATCGCCTAATGATATTGAACAGCGGTTTATCGACCGAACCAATAATGTATACACCTGTACGAACAGTCTAGAGTCCTTATCGGTCCTTCTTCTTTTCTAGCTCCGTTTGCCTGTTGGGTTCAGAACACCAATCTCAGCCTCAGTGATACTGGGTTTATATACAAACCAAACAGATCACATCACATCATGAATTAGTAAACAAACATCTGTACAAGATTTAGCCGAAAGTGACTGTAAATATGAGAGACTGTCATTCATAGACTAGGCAGAACTCAGCAACAGTAAATCGTATAATAATAGTTTATAGGTCACAACGAAGCTTATAATTAGAGGAACATGAATATGAATAGTTTAGTTACTTAACAATTATACAATCAAAATATATGTATAGTAATAGTCCATAAATGAATCACAACAGTTTTCATTCTTAATTCTCATCCAGATATAACAATACTGAGTAAATTTGTATTCTCAATAGATAAGTAATCGATTTCAATCATATAGATCGTCAAAATAGAATCACAAACTATGATGGTTAGGAATACAAACAATTGGTTTATACTTGACAACATATATGGCTTACAAAAATTTTAAGATCATGATACTCATTTAATGATCATTACTACAAATGAATGTACATAAGTGGAATCCAGCATTAGGAACATTTTATTCTCCCCCAAATGCCCTGGTATGGCTGAGAGTCGGGAGAGTTAAATCTCCCTCTCCAAATGCTCTCGCATGGCCATATGCATACAACTACTGACAGGGAAGTCTTACTCACTGCCTTCTCGCGGTATAGCTGTTGTTTACGAAATTGAGAGGACGAAAAGCGAATGTCCGGTGCTTTAACAGGATTGACTTACACGGACAGTCCACCTAGAACAGTTGGAAAACCCTCATTACAAATTAATGATGCACACGGACTCCAAGACACCGAGGGGACAAATGGTGTATGAACCTATTGTTGGTCACTGGCTATCATGGGACTGCATCTCCTGATGTTGCTGCATTGTCTTGTGAATTAGACCTTTAGGTTAAATGCTCAGGATATGACGCACTAACAAAATCACCTTTTTCAATTTGAACACTCGTTTAGTATCCTAGCCCTCCCACAAATCGAATGATTTATGTTGCGCATATCTATTTGGTGCCTCCTTGTACCAATGTTTATGTGTTTAAATAAGTAAAGTCATTTTATCAAACTGTTTTGTAAATCATCATAATTGGATGGAGAATGCTAGTGAGCGGTCTATGCCCTTCCATGAAGGGTAACAGTCGTAAGTTTTATATCTTGATAAATAAACAGTTCTATTGTAAATCTACGATAAAAGTTTATTCCAATTAAGAACTTATAAATATTGAAACGTTGGGAAAATTAGAAATCATACATTAAACAGTTGTTTGTTTTAGTATACACTGAACTTTTTAAATGATTGCAACTGTTGTAAGATTGTTCCTACTGATGAAACTAAGCATTAGTCAGACGAAACCTTAACCGATCGTATTGATTCTGATAGGATTTGATCTGTATTATGAAGGACCTGACACATATTACATTGATCACCATCTAGTAATCAATCAATTATTTATGCATCTCAGGTCTACAGGGGATCAGTTGCGGCCTGGATAACCCAGTGATAACATCTCTGTGACTGTGACGCTGGATGACATAGGATCGAATTTGTCAGGGAGCATCAGTTCCCTCAAAATTACAGGTACACATTGCTGACGAGTGCCAAGTAGCACAAAACATAGGTCCAGAGTTCCATGTTGACTACCTTAAAGCATCATCTTATCTCAACATACTTACACTGCCTATTATTTTCTATATATGACTAAAAAATATATCCTGTAGATACTAGTGATAAGTAGTAGTGTATTGAACGAGAACATACAAGTGGGGACAACCAAATGTATTTGAATACAAAATTATAGAATATCTTCGTAAAATCTGAAAACCATACAGTAAATACTTCATTTGCAAAATGTCAATCATTCGTCTCAGACTTTGCTATTCCTCCGTTTCCACAGTAATCATTCTCTCTTCCCTACGATCTTCTTAACCTTCTGCTTCCATGCATTTTACTTTTGATTGGTGGATGATACATACTATTTATAACTGTTAAGGAGACTTGAAAATACTTAACCAGTAGTCTTAAACAGTAGACTATGAAAGAGGGAAAAGTTATTGTATATGGAAAATGTAATCAGTTAGATTTTTAGCCGACTGTTTACTTAAATATGGTTCTGTTTCACACTGATGAAATTAAACGAAAGATAAGATGATAAACCAAGCTGTATAGAACCTAGTAAGTCATTTAAAATTAAGATATATAGAAAATCAGCATGCAGCAATTGATTTATAGAAGTATTACATGACCTCAGTCAGCTACAACATAGGACCAGGCACATATATGCATCGGCCTAAGATGCCATACCTAATTAACACAAATAGGTGAACATCAAGTTCATAGAAGTAGTTACTTCAGTGGTAGTAATATATATGAGAGATTATGTATAAGGATAGGACACAGGAAGAAAGGAAGTTCGTAGAAAGAAAGATATGGAGCAATTTTAATCTCATCGTTTAAAGAAAGACAATGAGTGTATACACCTACGTCATTTTGATCGATTCTCAGTCATATATCACCCAGAGTCTCCAACCATTGGTCACGATAGTCACGCGGACCCCATTTAATTACATGACTTATGAATATAAAATGTTTATTCCCCCGTATATAAGTACTTTTATGACCTTATAAAATTTTGTTAAGAAGCCGTAATTCAATTTGAAATGGCTAGGATTATCCCATTGTTGATATTTTGACTGAAGTTGGATAAGCCTTGATTGATATGAGTTCTTGTGAGGATTGTATGCATATAGCCATTATGACACATTTATTTATTTATTTATTTGAACACATAAATATTGGTACAAGAGAGCGCCAATATATATGCGCCACACAAAACAATGAGAATTCGAAGAGAAGTAGAAAGAAAAAAAACTAAGGAACGCAAAAGAAAAAGAGAACAATGACGAAGAGATTGGAGTAAGGTAGTGTGGTAGTAACGACGGAACGAAAAGGTACAATCAGAAGAAATCTTTCAGGTAAAGGAGACACAACCACTTTTTATGAAGAAAGTAAAAGAAGGTTACAGCAGGATCGCCACTGGCTTCTATTCTGAGCCATATCTGATAACGTCTCTAGCCACTGTGTAGCACCATCTCTCGGACCCCAGCCAGGGAGTCGTGAAGGACCAACACAAGCCAGTCCTTTGCAGCTTTCTTTCATGCCACGACACCATGTCATGCACTGACCACCTCTCCGCTTCTTCCAACCAGTCCCAGAGTCGGCAAATAATGCACGACGTGGAATTCTCTGGGACGACATTCGGAGAACATGTCCGAGCCACCGAAGTCGGTGTTTCAAGATGGTGACACCAATTGCATTATCATCTCTGTGCCCGAACACACGATGCCGAACCTCTGCATTACTGACATGGTGTTGCCACTGAATGTCAGCAATCCTTCGGAGACAGCGATGATCGAACAATGTCGTATATATCATATCGTTCTTAGTGCAAATCGAATCTTATCGACCAAGTTGCAATGTGGCCACTTGTCTAAGTGACTTCACATTGAGTGTACCATGTTAGGATAAGATAGTGGTTGGACGTAGTCAACAGGAAACTCTGGACATATGTTTTGTGCTACTTGAGACTCATCAGTAAGCTGTACCTGTAATCTTGAGGGAACTGATACTCCCTGACAAATTCGATCCTATGTCATCCAGCTTCACAGTCACAGAGATTATCACTGGGTTATCCGGACCGCAACTGACCTCCTGTACGATTGTGATGTATTAATAATTGATTGATCACTAGATGGTGATCGATGTAATGTGTTATTTATTTGTTTATTTGAACACATAGATATTGGTACACGGAGGCACCAAATACATGTGCGCCACACAAATCTCATTCGATATGTGTGACGGCTGATATACTGCCCGAGTGCCCACACCGAAGCAGGTGGTTTTCTTAGGGGACCACTCCCCGAGCCTTCGACCGGAAGGTTTGATCCACAAGGCAGTGGAGCATCATAAGGAGATGCAGTCCCATGGAAGCCGGTGACCAACAATTGGTTCATACGCCATTTGTTCCCGCAGGATACTGGAGCCCATATGCACCATTGATTTGGAATCCGGTTAGAGCGCCGGACATTCGCTTTTCGTCCTCTCAATTTCGTAAACAACAACACCCGTGGTACGAGAAGACAGTGAGTAGGACTT